GGCTAAGACTCAGCTAGATCCAAAGCCATTCACTGTTTGGGTGACCTTGGGCGAGTCTGTCATCAATTGCCTTTGGAGAAGAAGGACACCTGTCACTACCTCACAGGGCTGCTGTGAGGAGCAAAATTCCCAGTAGCTCCTGATTTTACACCGTCACAGCTAAAGTCCTGACAGCTATCTGCAAGGGCCTAAGCACCACGCTGGCCTTGTCCCCGTTGCTCTAATGCACATCCACATTCTGGTCTTTGTACCTGTTGTCTCTGCCTGGAATGCATGTCCCCCAATGACTACCAGGCTCTGTCCCCCATCTCTTTTAGTCTCCTCCCCAGCAATGCCTTTCCGGACTACCCAAATTAAAGAGGAAACTCCCGCTCCAGGTCTCTCGATCTCCCTCTCTTCTTTCTCCCACAGCACTGGAGAGCTAACATCTGAAGAGCTAATATTTTAGATATCTGTCACATCTGACCCACTCCCAGTAGAATGCCAACTCGTATAAGGGCAGGGAATTCTGTTTTGCTCAGTTTTGTGCCCCTAGCACCTAGGGTAGTGCCCAGAACTCAGGAGATACTTGTGGAGTGAGTGAATGGGACTTGGTTCTACCATCTCACCATCATCTCCTCCCAAACTCCAGCCTCCAAGACCCTGTTTACTTGTTAGGAAACTGGACACAAGGGAGCAGTGAGCCACTTAACCTCTTCTATCCCTGTTTCCTGATCACAGAGAAAAGGGGCTGGACTAGATTATCTCTGCAGTGCTTCCACTCTGACAAGCTTCGGCGAACAAGAAAGGCATAACTACAGCAAGCCTGCAACTGCATTTACCCGATTACGAAAGTTGCATCTCCTTTACATTTTCCACAGTTCAGGCCCTGCAGGCCCCCTGCCTCTTAGAGCAAATGAGGTCTGGCTACCACTTTCTCTGTGATTTGTAACCTGCACACCAGGTCAATGTTAACCTTGAGAGAGGGATCACTGGTCTTGTAAAACTGATTCAGGTTAGGTTACAGGGAAGTAAAGCAAACCACATTGGGTTGTTTCTTAAGATCAGGAACACCACCTCTCCTTGTCCCCCTCAATTTAACACTAATTCCTTAGCAGCCCATGCTGTTGGTTTTGGGGTCGAGCCAGAAGCCCTCTGAAGAAATAGCAAAATTGTATGTTCCGGGCCAAAAGGAAGGCACTGGGAGGAAAGCGGAGCTTGGTGCAATAGCAGAGCACGCGGTGGCATGGCTGGGAGTAGAGGCCACGTTAGAGGGGCAGGCGTCCTTCGAGGGCATTCTGGCCCACAGCCCTCTAGCCTGGTTCTGAGTCTGAGGAGCTTTAAGGCTCTTATTTCTCCATTGAAAACAGGGACTTACATGAGCTCTAACACTCCATGCCCACTCATCTAAACCCCATGTGGCCAGGGTCAAAGTCACCAGTGGTACTAGCTAAGGCCACCGCTAATGTTCTCTTGGTGCTTGAATGTGTCACTCATTTATCAGACTGTTGAGTCACTGTCCAGACATACTGGGTTAACGTTCAGGAAGCTGTTGGTTCTAGCCATAGAATCAGTAGCACCTCACTGAGTTCCTGCCCTCTGATGGACTACCAAGCTCTGGCACAGTCTCTGGCCATGCCAGGCTCCTAGAATTCCCGTTGCCAGACCCTTCACATCCAGAAGACGGACGGTACAGCAGTCAAGAGCACACAGCAGGCCAACGAAACCTTGGCAAGCAATTCTACAGCTTCCTTCCAAGGAGGTGCCCTAAGCCCCATCAACCTCTCTGTGCCTCTGCTTCCTCATCTATAAAGTGGAATAATACACCCTTATAAGGCTGCTGGGGAGATCACACACAATTAATAAATAAATACCTCAAAGCAGCTCAGGGCCTGATGAGGACATGCTGACTACACGGAAGCTGTTATGAATAGGAACTTTGTGTTTACACCCTAAATCACACATGATCTAAAGGTTTGGGCTGGTTCCTTCCTGGTGTATAGGCTGGTCACAGAGAGAAAAGATACTGCACAGCAACCACTGTCCCCCTCTGCTGAATCGGCAGGCATCTCTAATCAATCTCTGCATTCTTCCCCCACTGACAGCAGTCATGGACTGAGCACTGAATTCATAGATTCAGACAGCTAAAAGCATTGTGGGAAAACTCACCTGCTGTCCTCTGAAATTCCACGTCAATCCACTGGCACGGAAGAAGTTTATACACTAGCAAATGAGGGCAAGGACCATGTCCTATGAAAGTGGTGTGAGGGGCCCAGGCATGGTGGTATAGGCCTGTAATCCTAGCACTCTGGGAGGCTGAAGCAGTAGGATGACAAGTTTGAGCCCAGCCTAAACATCTCAGCAAGACTCTATCTTAAAATTTAGAAGGATGACAGCCACGGAGGATGTAGCTCAGCGTAAAGACCCTGCATTTAATGCCCAGTACCAAAAAAAAGGAAAAAGAGCAATGGAGGTGGATGGAGCTTCATGTCTTGGTTCAGTGATGTGGACCCAGAACTTTGGACAGAGCCTGCAAAAGCCACTCCCATGTCTTCTGGAGGAATGAACTTGCATCTGGTCCACTGCGGTCCACGGCACACAGCACTGAACTCACCACAGCAAGCACCCAGTGACCGTGGGCAGAAGGTGCCACAATCTGCTTGACTTGTGCTTAGCACAGCACCACTGGCTGGGGAAAACTCAGCTCCAGCGGGTTCCAGGCCTGACATGGTTACTCACTCTTCACATGACCCTGAGAAGGAACTTTCCTCCGAAGCCTGACTCTCCCCATATGCGCACTGAGAGGGTGGATGCGACAAACTCCAAGCCCTTTTCTAGTCCTGTCCTTCTGCGATGTTTACTCTGCACTGTCAATCTGACTGGCTAGAGAGGTACCTGGGAGGTTAATAAAGTATACTTCTGGGTGTGCCTGTGCTGGGTCACAGAGGTGTGACCTTAGGACTGTATCAGATCCTCGGTCTCCTCCTCTTGGGCCCTTTCCGTCTCTCTGTTTCCGGCCACCATGAGGTGAGCAGCTTTCCTCCACCACGCTTTTCTGTCATGATGTCTCTGCTGTGAAGCCAGCCAACCATGGACTCAAACCGTGAGTCAGAATAAGTCCTTCTTTCTTCAGGTGTGTATGTAAGGTATCATGCTTCAGCAACAGAAAGCGAATACTTCCTCTGATCCAAGGAGTACTTCCAGGTACCAGCAAGCAAACTGAACGACTACCAATGCCCTAGAGGCCACGGCCTCACACAGTGTTCTTACCCAAATCCACCAGCAGGGGTCCTGGGCACAAAGGACTCTGGACAGCCACCAGCCCCAGGGATCACAATATTCACAGATCCAAGCCAAGATGTCTCATCCTCCTGGGCTCCAACCCCTCCATTCCAGTGTGTACTCCCTGCCCCTGCATCACCCCTCCTGTTATCCCTTCTCTCAGTGTATCTATCACATCAGCATCCAGCGAGTGCCTACTAGGGTCCAGTCCCATGGTGATACCCAGGGCAGACACAGTCCCTGTCCTGTGTAGTGAGAACTCTGAGATCAGAATCAGAACAAAGAGGCACAAGCAAAAGAAATAATGAAGGAGCGTAAGCACGCGATGAAGGCCATGGGTCATGGGCTGGGACAGTGGCACCTTGAGTGAGGGAATCAGGGAAAACTTCCCCAAAATGAGGATTGAACTGAGGCCTTAGAGATGAAGGGCACTAACCTGGGAAGACAGAAAAGTGCGTTTCAGACAAAGGCTGTCAGGCAGGAAGCTATTTAGGATGGGGTTGGCAAGCTACCACCATTTATGTACGTATTTATGTGTTATCTATGGTTGCTTTCACACTGTCCTGGCAGAGTTGAGAAACTGTCAGAGGCCTTTTGGCTTGCAAGGGATAAAATATTTCCAGGCCACATTGAGTTCTGTGTGCTAGGGACCTCCCACCTGGTGTCATGATCTGCGATCAACCCTGCAAAAGGCTGCCAGGGTGATCTTCCTGAAACACAAAGCCAAACACATTATTCTTCTGCCCAAAGAACTTCAGTACTCTCCATGTGTTCTCAAAGTATGCTCCAAAGAACACTCATTCAATGGAGTGAACCTCAATAAAAGTAGTCAAAGATTAATGAAGTTTGAGAAACATGACATTCTCATTCTTAGATGTTCCTAGGCATGCACATAAACGCAAAAAAAGGCTCTGAAAAGTCTCACGGCAAAGAGAACTATTTGACTTTGTTTAACCTATTGCCCTCCAATTTTATATGTCCACAAAGGAAACCCCCAAAGTCCATTAACATTTTAAAGAACTGGTACTCTGTGGGCTAACAGGTCAACCCTACTTGGCCTTCACAATCTGACCCTCAAATCCAGCAGATCACCCCAGAGCCCATTCTGGGTTTTATGCTTGAGCTAGGAGCCATGTCTCCTGGTTATCCTTCGCCTTCTTCCTGCCTCAGTGCCTCAAGTGAAGGTTACAGGGTTGTCTCAGCTCTGCTCTGCCCAACAGGCACCAGTAGGATGTGTGCTGACATTTACCAAGTGCCTATTTTACCACCTGCAGTGACATCCACAGCTTGGGTGGATCTGGTATCTCTTTCTCTCTCCTTTGGTATCACAGTCCAACTTTCCTTTGGGGACCAACTTTCTCCTATCTACTGCCAGCTGCCAGGGTAGGGACAGATCCTGGTCTGGCTCATCAGAGTATCCCACTACCCTGCACTGGACCTGAGCACTTGAGGGAAGGAATTCGACACCTAAAAGGGACCTGCTGCAGCAGCGGGGCTCCCCATCCTGGGTTTTGTCCCTAAGCTTGCTCTAAGGTGAGTGACCAAAAACCAGACCAAGCTTGGATTCTAGTCACAGATGCCCACAGAGGGAACATGGAAATTGCCGCTCATGCTTCACATCCTCTGGGGCAGATATTCCTCTGGTCTGGACCATCCACCCTTCCAGAAGAGAGTACGAACTAGAGAGTAGTAGCTGAAGACCAGAGATAGAGGGGTGCCAGTGGTATGGAGGGGCATACCTGCTTGCGGTGCTTTTCCTTCCAGCTGCACTGGCTCCGTCAGCCTGCAAAAGAAACCCAAACACCTCCATCAGCCAAGGCTCAAGACAGAGTCTCCCTACTGCAACCCCACCAGCTCTGCTGAACACCAGCCTTCAGACAGAGGGTGAGCAGGCCCTAAGCCCCTGCCCCACTCCTCCAGGTTGGAAAAACCTGCCCCCAGTGATGAGAGGGAATCAGAACACTTCCCTGTCCTATTGCTTGGCCCTTTAAATTCTGCCGCGCACCCACTGCCAACACAAACCTAGCAACCACACAGCCCTGGGGACTCCGTGAAAAGTAAGTAACCAGTTAAATCTGAGATTGAATTGCACCATTTTTATTTTCAGCTGGGATTTCCAATAAAACAGTAGCTGCAGATTTATTCCTACCAACTGGAGGGGAAAAATCCTATTATGTTAAAATATTCTGTCCCCCAACTCTATGAGCAGGGGAAGGCAAGAGAGTGCCAGTTCTTAATCTCTTTTGTTTGGGGGTGGGGGATGGAGAGATAGGGCTGACCAAATGAAATTTTCAGAAATCATAAAATTCTGGTTGAGATGGAGCGACTAAGGCTTCTGGGTACAGAGGGAAACGTCTGGAGTCTCATGAGGGCCAAATGACAAATACCTGGAGTCCTGACTCTCAAGCCAGCGCTCAAGGAGACCTGGATGCAGGGCCAAAGGAGGCCACAGATGACAAACAACGAAGGCCTGGACCTCCACCACCATGCACTCCCTCGTTCTCTCAAAACTCATGTAATAAGAAGAATCACAGTAGCATAACGCAGGTCTGAAAATCTAGAGCACATGTTCACAAATTCAAAATGTTTCCAAGTTCAGAAAGGTAACACTGCCTATGCCCTGTATTTCTGAAATACCCCAGCAGAGTCTGTGGAGGCCCCAGTAACGGTGTGTGCCGATGTTTCAGGGGTCACACAAGCACAGGCAACCCTATGTGGGCACATGACGGGCGACTATGTGCAGCCTCATTCCCCTTCCAGTCAAGTCCTGCTGCTCACCGACTACAACCTTTTTGTATCCAAGCATTTCAGATTCAGGATTCTGGATGAAGAATTCAGGATCTAGAGTAGGAAGAGCTATGGCCTTTGACATGTAAGTTACAAACTGGCAAAACCAGATGGTGGACTTCATTCAAAAGAACCAGTAACATAAAATGAAGGGATTTTGTCCAAAAAAAGATTTCTAGCTTCTCTTAAAAAAAAATCCAGTGACACCCAGTCGCACACAGTGCAGCTAGTGCTGCCGTGCCTGCTTTCTTCACAGTCCCCACCACGTCCTCTTGTCTTATATCCAGGGTCTGCCTGGCCCGTGGCTGTCGGACACCTCCCCTGGGTAACTTCCCATCAGGTACTACTGGAGGGACGTTACTGCTTCCTCTCATCTGATTCTCGACAGGTCCCCAACGACGCACATACAGTACCTCCACTTTACAGGTAAAGACACAGAGGCTCAGTGCCTTTAAGTGATGTATTAAAAGCTTCACAGTTTAAGATCAGGTCTGAGTCACTCCCAAGGGCACTCTCTCAGTTCTGGGATACGTTATCTCCCACCAACATTCAAGAGAGCCAAATGGGAAATGGGGTGACATCACAGAGCCCCAAGCCCCACATGAGGAAAATGAAAGAGAATGAATAGGGAGGGTGAAATATAAGGTCTGGAAGGAGAAACTAATGGGATTTGGTTATGCGATTTTGGCGAGAAAAAAGACAATGGAAAATGTATCATTTCACTGGAGCAAAGGAACAGGATCGGTTACAGGCTCCTTCTGACATCTTGCGTTCTTGTACACAAAGCTGCTTTAATGTTCATCCTAAGAGGCAGGGGTAACGTGGAGGGGGAAGTTCTACCCCAGAGAGCTTTAAGTAACCAAAATCTCAAATGATCTCTCTTGTTTCCCACCTAACTGTGTGTGTGCACTTCAAGCAATGCTCGCACATTTTTAATGATGCCTTTTTTTGTCCTTTGCCATCACAGTTTTACGTAGGATTGACCAGGTCAAGAGCAGTAAACATGTGATGGGGTAGGGAGGATCTGAGGCTCTGCTTTTGGCACATCTGACAACCTCCATCTTTGTTTCTCTTTCACTGAGTTGATGACACTTCAGCTTCGTAGTACTGGCAGACACCCTAACTACTTTTATCCACTCATTTTTATAAAACCAAGAATGCTAAACATATCCCAATAGTTGTTGACACAAATCTTTTTGCAGAGACTCAGATGGTGGCACAAGGGTCCTGGAGCTGCAAAAGGCAGGAATACCTACCTGGGCAGGGTGAGGGATGTCCCATTAGCAGCAGGTACAGGTATGGGATGGCATGGTGATGGACGACGGATGCTGTGGGAGCCTTCCAAGATGGCATGTGTGAATATCACAGCACATGGCAACCATGGCCTGCCACCATGACAGGGCACCGCCTACTGGCCCCTGTAGCTGAAGCCCACGGTGCTAACAGCATCAGCTCTCAGAGTAGAGATCCACATGACACCTGGTTGGCTTTGTCCATGTCCTTGCAAATACATCATGCTGATCCCCTGTGTTTGAATTAACTTGAACTCTGATACTGCCATTTCTTAGGCCAAAATGGTCTAAGATGAGCAATTTCATGTAATTCAACCTAAACCACAGACTCTTCTTTACCTAGCATAATCTGACCTGATTCTCCATATGAACTAAAGTTGAAGAGCACAGGGTACGAGTCTGAGTCTGAGTCCTGCTTTTGCCATTCTCTACCTGTGTGATCTTTAGCAAGTCACCTGGGCTGCTGAGGCCTCAGGTTCCTCATCTGCAAATTCTGAGTGCATGAATCCTAGGACCTATTTCACAGTAGTGGTGTCAGACCTATGATAACTTTAATAAGGGTACATGTGTAAAAGTACTTAGGGTTGGCTCAGCTATAGTACTCTATCAACCACCCTAGCTGTAGAGACAGAGGCCACCACTGGTTGTGTCCAAGAGACTGAGGCACAGGACTATGAATGTGTGAGGTCACACAGCAGGTGAGCAAGTCACCAACCACCCTGGACTGCCCAGAATCCCATGTTGCAAGTGCCATCTCATGAGCGTCTAACAGACCACCACAGCCCCAAGGTTCAGCGGAAACCATACTGAACAAAGAATGCAAGCAAGGCTCCAAGCCCATGCTGGGTATGAGCAGTAACCACTCAGGTAATGGGTACTTGGTAGCTGCTATGTCACACCGCCACCATCTGCCAAGAGGTCACATGCTTTGAAAGGGTAACTTGTCCTTGCTCTGTCTAGGTCTCACTTCAAACTTCACAAGCTCTTTCCTTTCTCTAGACCTGAGGTTCTCCATAGGTAAAAATGGGGGTGGGAGTAGAGGATTCAATCAGATCCCCCCAACATCTTTTTGTCAACCTTAACCAGAGCCTCTATGGCAAATGAAATATGGTGGGGGGCATAGGGCACGTGGGAGACGGTCCTCCTCATTTAGTGCTGGGGTAAGGGGAACCAAGCCCTCCTCCAGCCGATCAGGGTGCCCACCCCCCTTTCCTAGCCCCACCCATCCCTTATTCACCAGCTTCTCCAGAGGACCTGGGCAGAGCTATTTTTAGTTGCATTAGACCCTCCTCTTCCCTCCCAAATGAATGTTAAGTTGTTCTTTTCCATTCTCTTATTAAGGGTTTTCTTGGAAAGAAAATATTATTCCAAACCCAGAAATTTTATTTCTAAATTTGTGCAAATGTAAGTTGTAAGACATTAGCTGCATTTCACATTTTGTGCAAATGGCAGAAACAGGCAATTCGTGTGCTACGGGATGGGGGCTGGCCAACGATTTCGATAAAATAAACCCTTTTTTAATTTAAATGCTAATGCACTGAATTAAAATTTAATAACTGAGGAAATTGAAAAGCCGAGCAGGAATATTGGAAATAAATCCAAGCAGAAACAGCTGAAATTAAAAATTCTAGAGAGTGGGAGGACAGCAGCTAAGCTGTCTTATATGATTACATTTTTTTTTTTTTTTTTCAGAATGAAGCAAAAAAAAAAATCCTATCTCTCGCTGGCTCTAGGGCAGTAAATCCACAGTGCTGTGATTTATTGCTCAATTTTCCTGAGGGAAAAAGGCTTTCTTTCATGCTGAAATATTTCATAAATTTCAAGCCAGCATAAATTCTTAATTTAAAAGTTATGGAGGTCACATTTAGTGCACTGGTATGGTTCCAAAATCTTAAAGGAATAGCAGCAACCAAAAAAAGGAAAAAAAAGAAAGAAAGAAAGAAAAAAAGGAGGGGTAGAATTTGCTCTTTTTTTCATTTTTGGTTTTAATTCACAAGTTGAAATTTCATTATTAAAGATTTCTGCTGGATGGATAGAACCCAAGCATGTGGGAAGCTGGTGTGTGTCTAGAAATCTGCTGCAAAAGATAAAGAGATAAAGATTTAATTCAATTATAAAAAGGCTTTTTTTTTTTAAAGCCACTTGAGGAATTTCTGGTAAAAATTTCCTCCCTTCATTGCCCGGGAAGGGGTAAGGGTGGGGGAGGGTGGCCAATGTAATTGCTTCTCTTAGATCTCCAATCTTTTGTGCACACTGATATATTCATTTGTTATACAGCTGTTCAGCGGCGGAAAGAATGCTGGGGCGCCCATAATTCTAAGCAAATCAATCAAAAATTAATGATTTGTCATGCTTGCACAATGGAGGAAAAACAGCTCCTTGGGTCCTGGCTGCCTGATCTCGAAGAATGAAATGCCTTTCTGTGATAAGAAAGCCGAGCTAGAGACTCAGGGAGCCTGAAGTATCACCACAAACATGGGGGCCGTGTGGCGCTCCCAGCTCTGTGAGGACACAGGGGCCACCATCTTGGAGTGAGCATGTTCAAGATGGCACCTCAGCGAGCCAAGCTTACTACGGACTCAGCCCAGCACATGTCCGCAGCGGAATAATTAGGATCTTGTCTTTTCCCTCCCCCACTGCAACTTGAAAATCACTTCCTCTCTGGAGAATTGACTGACTCCCCTCCCCCCACTAGATTTAATTT